ACCGCGCATGGATATAGGCGACGTCTGTTTTCTCCCACCATGATGTCATTCCCACTATTGGGCAACATGCAGATGCGCAGCGTCGGACGAGTTTTAACGGACGTTCTCTCGTGGGCCGGAGTATAGATAAAGATTTTACATTTACTTTTGAAAGTTTAAGTGAATAATATTATGCATAGGCGATAGGCTTATGCAATTGACTTCAAAGTTAAAATTCTATAGGCAATATAAATATAATTTTGGTTTTCGTAATTTCGTTTCTATGTAATTAATAACTTACACTAATATACTCATAAATTATACGTTTTCATAAAAATTGATGGTAAAAAATATGAAATCAAAAAATTATATTAAATGAATCATCTTAATGGGAAATTTCTTTAGTAGAGAAGATTGAATAGAAATACCTATTAGTAATAATGTATTCTATATATTTAATTTACTTATGAATTTTAATTCATCAATTTAAATGTTGTATCCTTCACAACAGTATATTTCAATGAAACTGATATAATTAATATCAATAAAAAAAATATATCAATATAAAAATAAAATATATTGAAAATATCAATATATTAATATTTGTTTTAAATTAAAAATGTATTAACACTTTAATAAATATTAAAGGAAACATATTTAAAAGCATTTTAATAAATATAAAATAATTAATATTGTTTACTCTTATTTTGTCAATTTAATTGGAAACTAAATAATAAACGAACAACAAATAAAAAGGTATTGGATGAAGCCAAAAAGTGGACAAAATCACAAAAGAAAAGTAACTAGTGGAGCATCAGTTATAACGCCTGAAGACAAGCTGTTCAAATGTTAAGGGAAAAAGATAATGAAAAAAAAAACCAAAGAAAAGAAAAAGCGTGTAGCAACGATACAAGAAGACACAGAGAGAAATGCAAATGGGATTATTGATGAAGTTATAAACAATAATTTAAATTTTGATGATGATCTACTTTTAAATTTGAGTGTCTGTTCCAATGAAAGTGACTTGTTAAATGAAACAGAAAGGGGTGATATTGAATTGGAGTTGCAAGAGAACCTTGAAAGATCCGAGCATCAGATTGGAGATTGGCTTTTGATAAAATATTATGTTGGTAAAAGAAAGAAAACAGTTGGAACGGTTCATGAAATAAAAAATCAGATTTATAAGATGAGATTTTTAAAATTTAAGAATGAAAGTAAGAATTCTACATCTGTCATTGCCCCTAACAACGATGACATAGACAAAATTGATGAGAATAATATAATAATATGTAGACTACCAGAACCCAGTATTGGAAGAAGTGGTGAAATGGTTTTCCAATATCATTTGGCTAAGTAAAAATGTATTACCTTTGCTATGGGTATTTAAATTTTTCATTTAGCATTTGTTTAATTAATTTATAATTTTGTGATATGTATAACTGAACTCATAAGTCTGAGAAACTTTTCCCAATAAATGGAGAAAAAACTGATTAATAATAATGATTAATAGTTTTTAATAATATATTCTTTATTATGTTTTTTTTTTATTTTAGTTTTATAATATTTACCTGTCAACTCAAAAGTCTGAGTATAAAAGTAATTAGTTTGCATTAAAGGAAATATAAAATGTTGAAGTTATATGAAGTATTTCTTTCTTTTTAATATTTATTAAAAATGTGTCTAATATTTTAAAAATTAATGAAAGTATTGTCATTTGAACAGAATTTAAAATATTTCTTCCATTCAAAAAATAAATTGTTGGTAATAAAATTTAGTTTGAGGCAGTTCAGTTGCCGCGCCTAAAATTATATACATTTTATGTATTTATGGTGATATGATTTTGCACTTTAACCGTGCATGGGGTAAGTGCGGCCAATTTCTTTTTTTTTTTTAAAAAATCAAAAACTCGAAAACTATGATTGTTAAACAAATTTCAATAGTAGGTATATTCGAATAGCTAACTATTATTTTAATGAGTTGACAAACAACTGTTTTAGTAGAGCAGATATATTGAACTCAGACAGGGTTGGGCATATCATAGTTACATGTAACTAAGTTATGTAACTCGGTTACTTTTGTAACTTGTAACTTGTAACAAGTTACACATTTTTAATTTAACTTGTAACTTGTAACTAGTTACACACTTTCCTGTAACTTTATATGAAAGTTACAAGCTACAATTAAAAGTTACATTGTAAATAATATGGTACATTAGTATTAATTAAGTTTTTTTTTTTAGTTTCTATTATATTTAAGAATTTTAAATTTAATACAAACAGTCAACAATAGTCACTCTGTGTGATAATACCACAGAGGTGATTTTTTTGTATTTTCATCTCAAGACCAAACAAAAGCTGATTCAAAGGCAAATTTGGAAGTCATACAATTTTTTAATGATAAAAATAAATCATTATCAATTTTAAATAATTATGTAGCTATAAAAAAACTATTTGTAAAATTTAATACTAATCTTTGTTCTTCTGCTACAGTAGAAAGGTTATTTTCATTTGCTGGGTTCATGACATGTGTCCCACTAGAAGAAATTTTATCTGACCAAATTTTGAAAAAAATGAGTTTTTCTTAAGGAAATAAATCTTATTCCTTATAATTTATAATTTAGGGTAAAAAAATACATTATTACAATTCAATTTTATCTTTTTAAATTGTACCAGCTTAGTTTATAAATACCATTGACTTTATTAAAACTTAAATTACCTACTACCTTTTTGCATGTGCATGTACCTATTTTAGTATTTTATAAGAAAACTGACTATTGTTGTGTTTATTAATTTATTATTAAGTAGATAGTATGATTAATACATTAAATTATTTTATTATAACTGTAATCTGTGAAAAATATTTTACACAAGTTAATATTAATCATTAACTATTGTCTATTACAGTATTGTTATAAAAATATTTAAAATGTGTTAATTATAATAAATGAATAAATACAAACATATTTTATTTATCAATGTAACTTTTAACTTTAAATGTAACTTAGTTACATAACTGTAACTTGTATCCAGTTACATTGCACCAAAGTATATAGTATCTTGTAACTAGTTACACAGTTTTAGAGTAACTTGTAACTTGTAACCAGTTACAATATATTAAGTAACTTGGCCCCAACCCTGAACTCAGAACCATAAACCAAATTTAGATTTTAAAATTATGGGTCCGCAGTTTGCCCCACTTCACCCTAATTGACTTAGTATACTATATTTATACTTAACTACTATTTGTGCCTTTTAAAGTTAACTTGCATTGGTCTAGATTCACAGCCGACCTTATTGTGTACCCTAGATAAGTTTAAAAAAAATCCTATTCTTCATAGGATATGACTTATTTTTTCAAATGTATCGAGTATCTAAATATTCAAAATATAAGTATCGAGTATCGAGTATCTGAATAGCGAGCTAAATAGGTACTTAAAATGTAAGTAACGAGTATTTGTGTATCTAGTATCTTGATACTCCAAATCCAAGTAGCTATCTATAGTATCTAGTATCGAGATACTGATTTTGAGTATCTGTGCCCATCCTGAACAAACTCAAATGCTAATGCGATAAGTAATAATCCAATATAAAGATTATATACTACATATTATCTTATATAATTTATAGCGATTCGAGTGTAGGTTAGCAGTTAGATAGGTATCGGTTAGACAGGTGATTTTAAAATATAATCAGTTAGGTTATACCCAGTGGCGGCGCCGGGACGGGCAGGTAGGGCCATGACCCTACCTGAAAATGCTTGGCCCTACCAGTGGCCCTACCACTGACCTGAACTTAGACATAATAATATACTTATTTTCAATAAGCAGAAAAAACATTAAATACAATATAAACATATATAAACAATATACTAATGGACAGGGGTGTGCTCAACCCTCCCCTTGGCACTTGACAAATGTATAATATGTATTAACGATTACATTATATGTAATTATAATTATTGTATTTTTTTTTTCATACATGATTAGGTATCATTTTCTCCTTATCAGACATAATAATAATAATTTAGGTATCATCACAGAACAAATATAGAGAAGCAAAACTCGATCAGCTGATTGGAGTTTTTGTTTCCTTATGATCTGAAGTCTTAATACCTCGAAAACGTTTTTGATATGAAATATTTAATTGAAAACGTATGTTCCCGCAACCAATGTTTCCTGTTTTTCTATGTTACCCGTCGTGATAAAAACATTATTATAATTAAAACATTATTATAATAAAAACATTATTAAATGTGTTCGTATTTTGAGTTTTGTGTTTTGAAATTGTTTAATTTAAAATTAAAATGTCAAGTAAAAAGATAACAAAATTTTTTAAAACTACATCAAAGAGGTCAATTCTGCCAAATGCTTTTCAGTTTTAGCTGATGAAACGACTGACATTTCAGTCAAAGAACAATTAGCATTGTGTGTTAGATATGTTGTTGGTTCTGATGAAAATGTATTTGTTTGTGAACGCTTTTTAAAATATATAGAAATTCATAGTCTGACAGGAAAAGACATTGCATCAACTATTGTGAATGGTAATTAACGAATATTGTATTTATTATAAATAAATTAGATTTTTATTAATTATTTGTTGTTATACAGGGCTTAATTCATGTGGAATAGACTGCAGTAACATGTATGGACAAGGTTATGACGGTGCTTCTAATATGTCGGGGCGTTTTAAAGGTACTCAAAAAATTGTGAGGGAAACATGTCCTAAGGCCTTGTACGTTCATTGCGCAGCACACTCGTTGAAATCCACAAGTGATATTCAAGCAATACGAAATTCTTTGGGTTTGGTTAAAAAAATGTACTGCTTTTTAAATACACCCAAACACAAAAATGTCTTGCTAAGTGTTATTAACGAAAGTGACTTGGATACAAGATCAAAATCTATTAAACATCTTTGTGCAACAATAGATGGGTGGAAAGATATACGGCAATAAATGATTTTGTAGAATTATTTCCTTATGTAATTCAAATATTAAAAAAATTATGCGAGTGGAATGACACAACTTCGACTGATGCCAACATTTTAATGAAAGCAATGGACTCAGAATTTTTAATTTCACTTCAAGTTATTAAAGTAAATATTATATTTTATTGTCATGCATTTTTATAAAATATTAACAATAATTTTTAGCCATAATGAATATTTTTTTTTGTTTCGTTAGGTTTTATTTTCATATGGTTTACCATTATGTAAACTTTTGCAAAAAGTCAATCTTGACTTAAAAGAAGCAGTAGATCTTGCTGAAGTTACTGTTGCTACTATTCAACGTTTACGTGGAAATATAACTGAAGAGTTTAAACAATTGTTTAAAGAAGCTGAGGTAAAGATAATCAAATATAATATTATATAATATATTTTTTAATTTAATTAATGAAAATAATATTAGAATACTAACTACTATAGAAAATGGCTAATAATATATTAGATATTACCATATCGATCAAACGTTTGAGTAAAAAATGCACAAAACGAGCCAACCCTAGTATTAATGACCCTGAAGAATATTATAGAGTTACAATAGCTATACCATACATTGATTCATTTATACAACAGTTAAATGAGCGCTTTTTATGTCACAAAAATGTACTTAAAGGTTAGTACCTAACTAAATTTATTTTTTATTGAATTATACTAATTTTGGAAAATTGTTTCTAGGATTTCAATGTTTGTTTTCTGGTACATATTCAGATGATTTTGATGAACTTCTTCAATTTTATCTTGAAACTGATAAACAAATTGTTGAAGCAGAATTAAATCTATGGCATGCAGTACTTAACAACAATGGACAACACCCTAAAAGTGGGTTGGAAGCATTAAGGCTATGCAAGAAGGAAATGTTTCCAAATATTCATTTCTTAGTTCAAATACTATGTACTTTACCAGTGTCCACAGCAACCCCCGAACGAAAGTTTTCATGTCTAAAAATATTGAAAACTTATTTAAGAAACACAATGACAGAAGTGATTTTCTCAATCTCAAACTTAATATTTAAAATGATACAAGATTAAAATTAGAATTTGTTTTCAGACACGACTTAATGGACTGACAATGTTGGCTGTTCACACTGATATACCACTTTCAGCTGAAGAAGTCCTTGGCGAACTTGCAAAAAAACCATGCAAACTAGACTTTGTTTTATAATTATTACATATAGTTTTTACATTTTAATACATAATGATTTATTATAAATATTCATTGATTAAAATATTATATTAAAAAAAGTTGAACCCCCTCCATTCAAAATTCCTGAGCACGCCACTGCTAATGGACTGCGGCACTGCGCGTAGAGAGAGAAACTGTCAGCCAACATTGAGCAAGGAGATAGAGCTACGAGTTGGGA